CAGTAGTATCCATTGCTATACTGAGCCAGTGGTATCCATTGCTATACTGGGTCAGTGGTATCCATTGTTATACTGGGTCAGTGGTATCCATTGTATACTGGGTGTGGTATCCATTGCTATACTGAGTCAGTGGTATCCATTGCTATACTGAGGCCAGTGGTATCCATTGTATACTGAGTCAGTGGTATCCATTGCTACACTGAGCCAGTGGTATCCATTGCTATACTGGGTCAGTGGTATCCATTGCTATACTGAGCCAGTGGTATCCATTGCTATACTGGGTCCGTGGTATCCATTGTTATACTGGGTCAGTGGTATCCATTGCTATACTGGGTCAGTGGTATCCATTGCTATACTGGGTCAGTGGTATCCATTGCTATACTGAGCCAGTGGTATCCATTGCTATACTGGGTCCGTGGTATCCATTGTTATACTGGGTCAGTGGTATTCATTGCTATACTGGGTCAGTGGTATCCATTGTTATACTGAGTCAGTGATATCCATTGTTATACTGGGTCAGTGGTATCCATTGTTATACTGAGCCAGTGGTATCCATTGCTATACTGAGCCAGTGGTATCCATTGCTATACTGAGCCAGTGGTATCCATTGCTATACTGAGCCAGTGGTATCCATTGCTATACTGAGCCAGTGGTATCCATTGCTATACTGAGCCAGTAGTATCCATTGTTATACTGAGCCAGTGGTATCCATTGTTATACTGGGTCAGTGGTATCCATTGTTATACTGGGTCAGTGGTATCCATTGTTATACTGAGCCAGTGGTATCCATTGTTATACTGGGTCAGTGGTATCCATTGTTATACTGAGCCAGTGGTATCCATTGCTATACTGAGCCAGTGGTATCCATTGCTATACTGAGTCAGTGGTATCCATTGTTATACTGGGTCGGTAGTATCCATTGTTATACTGGGTCAGTGGTATCCGTTGATACACTGGAGCATTGACGTACTAGTAATTTACTAACCCCGAGCTCAGTACAAATAGCACCTAGGACCCACTCAATGGATAGGGAGGCCAGAGCCACTGAGCGAGTTTAATTCCATAACGAATGTAACTTTATGTGAGGTCTGGGTACGCAGATGATTGTGATCGAGCGTGCCTGATTTCCACTGGGATTGCGCATTACGTTGCTATAATGTCATTATGACAGGAAGCCGACTACGGCACGTAGTCCCAAATATGGATTATAGGTTATGTAGCATATTCTATGCGTACTACCAACAGTTACACACAAGTCAGAACAGACAATGCGTGAATGTGATTGTCAAATATTTAAACAATACATTCCGATACCACATCCATTTTCGGTCAGTTTTTTTTTTATTTATTTACAATGCCGAAATAAATACCAGCGACATTATTATATCTTATCTATTTCAATACTTATTATTATATCTTATCTATTTCAATACTTATTATTATATCTTATCTATTTCAATACTTATTATTATATCTTATCTATTTCAATACTTATTATTATATCTTATCTATTTCAATACTTATTATTATATCTTATCTATTTCAATACTTATTATTATATCTTATCTATTTCAATACTTATTATTACTATACTATGACATGTCATATTTACATACACGTGACGATCTCTCATCTCAATCAAATGCGCCTTAGTTTGTTTTGATAAAATTTGTCTGTGGACACAGCCTTACAATAGATTCATAATGTGTTAATTGCATTGTGATTATCTAGATGTAAGTATGGACCTCCATGATGTAATTAAGTAAGGTTGGTGTACGCGCACGCTGTTTTATTTTTTTTTATCGCGTTTACAACATGTTGGAATAAATGAAAAGCGCAACTGTTTAATGGGTGGTAATGCAGTGCAAAGTACTTCAACACTCGTAGTCTGTGACAAAACACACCACTTAGACCTTAGTAAAAACACCCCAATGTGGCCTTCAAGGCCGGGGTCCATTTCGTCACGGTAACTAAAAACTAAGTAACCGTGATCTTTTTGGACCCCAAATACAACAAAAAAGACCTGCTCTTATCAGTCAAGCGTTTGTTCAAACAAATAGATGTTGGTACGAGAGGGGCAGAAATATATTTCAAATCCGAAAAACATAACATAGTCACTTTTTACCCAAGCCCGCTCTAGTTTCGTGTAAAAACTTGCAATGAAGAGACGAATATAGCAAGCCGACTACTAATATTTTTTGCAGATGTGATTTAAATAAACAATAATGTTGGGGCTCTTTCCCCGACGGCAGGTAGTTATTGTAGAAAATGTCGTTTAGTAGAAGGGGGGGTATTTTACCTCATGATTAGCGTTAGATTGAAAACAAACACACAACTTTGTACAAGAGGGCTGTCTTGTACGAATTAGACGTGGTACATATTAAATCGATCACATATAGCTGAACAGAAAAACTGTTGACGTGTGACAGTCGCCGATTTACCACGTTTGTTGGATGACTACCGTCGACATCATTTTTATTGCCAGTGTACATCTATACAATAATTTTATGTTGATACACGCTCTACGTGCGACAGCGAATGTAATCACTGTCTGGTTTAGTCGCCCTGACAAAAGGACAGCGGATGTCCCCACAAAATTGACGATTTCAAGTGTCCACCCAGACCATTTAACACCAACAATACGATTAAGGACATTGTAAGGAACTGTAGACTAAAAGTTCATTAACCGCGGAAAGGGCACATTTTACAATCCCAAAAACATGTTTATCCTGTTGTATGTTCCGCCAGCGTAAGAGAGTCGGCTCGTAAGTACACGTTGACATCATTCAAGGTGTATGTTTATTTAATTCTAACTACAAACAGATTAGTTAACGTACGCTGGGTCAGCAGAGGGGATAGATACTGCTATCATATTTCAGAACCAGGGCATTCAGAGGTTATTTGCGATTACTATGGATTTTATATTTTAAATGTCCATATTTTGAAACATACCCTTAGGACGGACGAGGTTATCAGATAGATGCAAATTTGTCCAAAAAATTGTGTTGGCTTTTGTTTTCAATTTCCGATTTTCAATTATTAAGAAAACGTGTTA